AGGGCTTGCTCGTTGCGAAGGGAGCCATCTCCAACCTACTTCTACCGGTTAACTTCACCCCTTCGATGACACCTTGTCGTCGGACTGGATGTTACAACATTTTGATCGGAAGAAGCAACGGGAGCTCGGTGACTATGGAGGTAACTTTCTACCCTTTCACACGTTTGTTCGGCCAAATCCTGTGAACCAGCCGAACTCTAAGGCAAAAGTGGAAATAGAGGATTTATTATGTCCTAAGGTTTTCGGGGTGATCAAATCCTGTTGCCAAGCATTGCATAAATCCTGTATCATTTTTTTTATCCTATGCTAAGTTTGTTGTTCAAAATCGAGTCGAACTAATGATTAATTATCATTAGTTTAAACTAATCATTATTAAGCTTAATTCATTTCAAATTAATTATTTTTAGTAAATGATTTGTTATTGATTAATTATAATTAATCTACTTTTAGTAAAGATTAATTATCATTAATTTAAATTAATCATTATAAACCTTAATTAATTTTAAATTACTTACTTTTAATAATGATTAGTTATTATTAATCATAATTAATCATTTCTATTTATGATTAATCATCATTAGTTTTAATTAATTATATTTACTTATTTTAATCTTAATCATCAATTATTATTTATAATTAATTATAATTAATTATTATTAATTATAATTAATTATTTGTACCCTCGAGCGGGGGGAAAGCAAACTATCTTTTTAAACAGGTACCCTCGAAGACTCTATACACGCCTTTATTGGGTGTGGTAAGAATGAAGGCTACGTCCGCGGTGTCTAAGGACACTACTATACGCTCCTTTATTATGCGTAGTGGGAAGGCCCAGTTTCTCGTAGTTTCCCCTAAACGGGGGAGGCGCCGGGAGGCTGCCGAATTCTATACTGACGGGGGACTTGTATTTGTACTTTTGAACAAAATCTAAGCGACTTAATAAGCAGTTGAACCAAAATAAAAAATGTGCAAGAGACTTAAATTGAACTGAAATTAAACTTGAATCAACTTCGGATCACAGTGGAGTTTTGAATATTCAAATTGAAATGAACAAGGGCTTGACTTGGACATTTAAACTTAAGCAAAGATTTGAGCTGAACTATAGTGGACATTTAACTTGAACTGTACAACATCAAGTGGAACTTGAACAGTAGGGGACTCAAATTTGACATTAAGTTGAACTTGAAAATGAACCACATGGGATGAGACTTTAACTAGCAAGTACTCAATCATATCAATGTAAATGCTAAATAAAGACATAGATCTTTCTAATGAACATCAAAATCAAATTATAACTTTAATTTCTCAAATAAATTCGAAAGAACATTGAGATGAAAACATATATTTATGGTGGACAAGAAAACTCCTACATCTCTATCACCAACAACGATCCAACACCAAGAAGATACATCAAAGAAAAAGATCAAACTCAAATGAACTACAAGGAAACTTGGATTTGAATGTGATATGATGACTCAAACATTCAATCAAATCAAATCCTAAATGGAAATGAAAAACACTCATATATAAGCAAATACTGAGGCATCCCTACAATCTACTAGAGGCCAAGATGCTTCTACAACCAGCAAATCAAACTGCTAGCAAATATCTCAGTCTCCTATAAGCAAGAGATTGTTGTTAAACAAAGTTTCAAATATAATTTACTTGGAAGAATCAATCAATAATAAATGAGGAATATGAATCAGTTACAAGTAAATGCACAAGAGCATCTCAGCAATTGAGGAATCAGTTACAAGCAAATACAAAAGATACACAATAGATGTAGGATGCTACAAGATGTTATAAAAGATCTGCAATACATATAATCTCTATAAATATAGATGTATGCATAACATTCCAGCTATGGGTAGATGCAGAAAGACTTCAGTGAATGCAGTATCCTGTAGTCAATAATAATCTGTGAATAAATACATCTACCTGCATACATGTAGTAGTAGCGGATGTACTACGAGGACCAAATACTGCAATAAAATGCACAAAGAATATATTAAATGTAAATGCCTATGAGTCCTCGTAGAAGACATGTTCTAGGAGACCTACCACGCATCAAGTGCCATTTACAAACAAATATCAAAGTGACTATATCAAATGTAATTGCTTACAAGTTATTGTGGGAAACTTATTGTGCATACAACAAGCCATCTACAAGCTTATATAAGTATAAGCAAGAGATTCGTTAGTGCACTGCAATCTATCTGCATAAATCATGTAAGTAGTGCACGATAGTCTACCTGTACAATGCATCAAATAGCTTAATTCATAAGCTGCTACAACACGTCACCGGATCCGCAACATGCATACAAGAGGACAGAAGGCGTGTACGAACTTTCAAGTAGAGTGTTGCATTCAAATGATGGTTGCCCGCTCAATTGATCAAAGCTAAATATTTGAAAATGCCCCCGTATATGCTCCGTAGTTTGTATACACATAGGTACACAAAAAGGGCAAGTGCAATCATAAAACCCGTATGGGCCCCAGTGAGCATGTTGTAGGGATACATGTGACATCTAAGGATGTTGCGCAGGTCAATAAGTGAATTCAAGTTCGAACCCAATCATTCTATACGGATCAATATGAGTTGACAGGGTTCGAACCATCTAATAAATATACGGTTGCGACGAACAGTATATTTGTCTTAATACATTCATATTAGGCCTTCAAATCCTTTATAAGAAAGGTTCATCGTTAAAATCAAACACCCGCATGGGCCCCGGCGAGCATGTTGTAGGGATACATGTGATGTCTTGGAATGCTTCGCGGGTCAATAGATTTGAACCCGATCCTCCTAAGCAGGTAAATAGGAGTCGACAAGATTCAACAAATAATTACAAAATGCCTCCAAACACTCGTATTGGCCCGACGAGCGTGTCTTGAATATACATGTGGCGTCTAGGGATGATACGTGGGTCAATAAATTTGAACTCAATCATTAAGCAGGTAAATATGAGTCCACAAGGTTCAACAAATAATTATATAATGCCCCCAAAGATCCACATGGGCCCCAACGAGCGTGTTATTAGTACTAACGTGACGTCTAAGGATGTCAATAAATGAACCCAAGATCGAGCCCGATCCTTCTATGCAGGTAAATAGGAGTCGATACGGCTCGAACCATTAAATAAAAATACAGTCGTGAGGTCCACCGGGATATTTATTTTATATTTTATACATTTATATTCGGCTCTCAAGGCCTTCAATAAAGAAAATTTACAAACAAAGGCATAAAGCCTACGAAACATGATCCTCTGTCGATAACTCGACGGAGTCTACAAGGCTCATCCATAAAATGCAATTGTTTTCAAATGAAAATGACCTCGAATACCCCGATGATGACTGTGTTGAATGTAGATCTCAACCAGAGGGGTTAATTCCAAATATTTCAAAATGCCTCCAAACTTTCACAAAATTTAAATTCCTACAAAAATATAAGTGACTTTAACGACCCCCCGATGATGGCCTTGTTGAATGTTTATTCCAACCGGAGTGGTTTACAAATAATTTCAAATACTTCCAAACTTTCACAAAATTCAATTTTCTACGAAAATATAAGTGACTTTAAAGTCAGCCCGATGATGGCCGCGTTGAACATAGATCTTAACCGGAGGGGTGGTTCAAACACTTTCAAATGCCTTTCAAGCTCCACCCAAATACCACAAAAATCCAAAAAAAGTCCCAAAAATCTAAAGATGTTTAAAATGAAAATTAATCCATTTAATCACTTAAAGGAAAATTCATCCATCCTCCACAACAGTTTGTCGAAATGGACAAATTGAAATGTACTTCAGCTCATATAGAGCCAAATGCTTAGTTGAAAATATTACTAGGATCCATTCTCAAACAATCTTCTGCTAATAAGGACGTGGTACGTGTCCTCTAACAGGTGGTTTTGTCGGCAAATAGCATCGCTGGATAAACAGTTATGACCCGGGCCCTGTGAACCGAGTGGTTTTGTCGCCAAATGATACCACGAAATACCGGTTATGGCCAGAGCCAATACGCTCCTTTGTGGCATCAAATCCTTGAGATTTGAATCAATAGGATATGATCGATAGGGCACAAAGCCCTTATTTAGCTAAAGTGGATTTAAATTTGTCCCCTCAGACAAACATCCATCCCAAGTCTACAGGGTCCCCTTAGACGAAGCAGCCCATGGCTGCCGACAAGGATCCTTCTATCAGGTTGGGTCGACTACCTCCTCTGATTAAGTTGACCAAGGACCACGATGGCCCGGGATAACGGAACCAAGAGATCTTGATCGGGTCCATTATCGATTCCCCCACCATCTGCTTTAAGTGTAAGATGGTGAAATTTTTAATTTTAAATATCAACCCTCAATTCTCAAATTCCAAACCCATGTTGCTACTATACACCAGATAACATGTATCTCTTTGATACTCTACATATCTGATTGACGACTAGCCTTAATCGAAAGTTCTCTCTCGGTGTCGAGAGGGGTTTGCGCCTATAGCAAATCAGAACTCAGATCATAAAGTCCTCACAAAATGAGGGCGAAATCTTCGATAGTGTCTTATCTACAAACTCATTTGCCTTCCCAAAATTTACTCCGAAACTTA